AAGTGTTGTGTTTTTTTTTGTGCTTATGTTTTTTTAACACATTATTTGGAACAACGCTTTTACCTGCATGTAGTTTTCAGTTTCTTCTTTTTTTTTTTTTTTTCACAGACATCGTCATGCCTTTAGAAAAGCTTTTCTGGGATTTACACCTTCATTCTGTTGGTAAATTCTAAAGAAGAGCCAAGTAAAAGATTTACTAAAAAGAAATGCTACCAAAGTTTTGAGAATTAAAGAGCGTGTACGAATACCAATTGGGTTGTCTTCAAATTTGTTTTAGCTTTTAAAAAAAATTGAAATTTGAAGGTAAGTTTAAAAAGTCATTTTCTTAAATTATTTTGCTTCTAATTTTTTTTTGAAGTATTTTACTTCTTTTTTTTCAGAGCTTTATTTTACGAGTAAAAATAATTAAGATTTATAAATTGCAAAAAATTTGCTGAACTTAACGTTATCTAATCTACAAATACAGCTGACAGAAGCAGGTAGAATAAGTGAACAAGCTTGAAAGTATGAAACAGATGTGATGTTATCAACTATTACAGGAACTGTATAAATGTAACTAAAACTTAATTAGAAAATAGAGGGAACTTTTTGAGACATTAAAAATGTGGGCAGTGAGATGCGGCAACTGTTTTATCATGCAATTTGATAAAAGTCGTGCAATTTCTGTGAGTATAGCCATCAGAGTCATTCTGCACTGTTTATGCAGCATTTTAGGCCTAAGAGGATAGCATTCAAGTGCTGATGTTGTTTTCAGAATGCCTTTAAATAGACTCTTACATCGGTCTATGTATAACACCGATAAAGCAGTGTTTCTGCCAGTAGCCGCTAACACGAGTTAACACTCTGTACTGCTTATAAAAGTAGATTGAAAGTGTGGATAATACTTCAGTTTCTTCTCAAAAGTAAATCAAAAAATTAAAAGTAATAATGTGTATGCCATTCGCTAGTTAGGTCATTCACCGATATGAGGTGAGAAGTAAGCCTATTCAGAGTAATAAACTTACTGACAAGACAGAAAACCTTCACGTAGTTTCATAAAGAGCTTGAAAGAAGTTTTTTATCTAATACCTGCAAAAATAGCCACACTGAGCAGTGTTGACGTAGTCTCACTAAGCTCTACTTTTCAGTTTCCGGTACTAAGCCAAAAATAAGATGAATATTTAAATGCTAAACAGCTTTAACTAGACATTTTATTATAATAAACGTATGGCACGTTTTTTTGTAAAAAAAAAAATTAGTTTTATGACTGCAAAAAACGTATTTATATCTTTTTCTGTACTTTTCTAATTTTACCTTTTTTCGCTTTTCCACTTATATTTTCCGTTCTAAAAGTTCTTATCATAAATAAGGTAATCTTTTTTCTTTAAAGAGAATTTTAACTCTAATCACTGTAGCTCATGCACTACTAAAATTACAGTTTTAACGATACTCAACCGTAGAAGATTTTTCACTTTTTAGGGTTTTATTCTTGCGAACCATTTTCATTGGCTATGCATTTTGAAAATCACTTCAAACTGCAGTAGCCATCAAGATCAGAATAGCTGCAAAGGTCCAGAAATACCGTTGACTGAAAGAAACGAACAAGAGTTTGGTTAGAAATCCTAAGTACTAAGTGTAAAAAAAAGCTTTTGTTGCTAGGAGACAATTACATCAATGTTGCTTTGTTAATTAAAATATAGACGGCTGAAAATTAAAATTAAAACTTCAATCTGAACTTTTGCAGCTTTTATTTAGCATTTGTTTATTAACATTATTAATTTGAAGCACTGCTAGCAGAAGCATTTAATTTTATTTTCTCGAACGTCACCGTCACTTAAACTCATCCTCTGTTGTTCATCCTTTTTCAGTGTTGTTTTAAATGAAACATTCTTTGTAATAATTATAAACTATAAACTTATTTTACTTACTTTAATTGTATATTAAAAAATTTTTTTGTTTCAATCTTAGTATTTTAACTGTGCAACGTTCACGATTACAGTCTGTTCAAGTCAAAAACAAATATAAGAACTACTTTTTTTAATATTTTGTGATTTAATGTTCTACATTCAAGAATATCACTCCTACTTTAGTTTTAGGCTTATTCAGAGTTTCAAAAAATGATTTAAATGAATATTATCATTTAGAAAGCTTTAGAGATGGTCCTCGTAATAATTCAAGCAAGTAAATGAAAAGTTGAGACTTTATTACTGCTTGCGAAATATCGTAATTTTTTCATAATGTGTGTGATCAAGATTAAACAATCAGATGAATCAAAATTTTTTTCAATCTAAAAAATAACTGCAAAAAAATTCAAAAGACTGTTTATTTTTTTAAATGTTTGTTTTTTTGGTAGAATAATTATGTGAAGCGAAATTAAATGCTTTTAGTAATCAATGGTCTTTATGGGTATATTTTATATTTCTGAAAAACTTTTTACAGATACGAATTCATAGATTAGTAAGATTAGTGTTATTCAAAAACAGTTTTTAATGATTGACTGTAATTTTTCAGGGTTATGGTAGGTTATCCATGAATTCATCAGTGCGTTGAAGGCAGCTTCTGTAATTATCTTCCTTATTTGTCGAAGCTTGTACAGTTGCTAGGTTCGCACAACCTATGCTTGGTGAAACCGTGTGAAAAAGTGGCAAAGAAGAAGATTTAAGGAGCTATCAGTCACCTACGAAATTATAGATACTGTACATATCAATCATCTGTAAAAAATTTACTTTGCCTAGTGAAAGTTTACAAAAATAAAATTGAGCAAAAGAATAAATGAGTTTTGATTAGCTAGTATTCCAAATTTTTGAGTAAAAAGGAGAGAAAGAAAGGTTGGAAGGAAGGAGTAAGCTGGGAGCAACGACAGCGACAGTGATTATGTCAAAAACCTTTTATTAGCGGAAGAAGACAGTTTCAATAATTTATAGATCAGACATACTAATTACAAATTTTTTAATTAAATTTTATAGAATCTGGGACAACGCGGGTA